GACGTCTGATTTCTTTTTAAAAATATGTCTTCTAGTGCATAAACTTTTGGGATTGACTGTATAGCCAATACATCCTTAAGTACATGATTATGATCATAGCGACTGTTTTATTTTTATATGCATATTTGAAACAATAGATGTTTACAAATTCCGTTTATTGATTGCACAACAAGAAAATAAGCTATGATCAATAGTTATGGCGTGAATTTGATAAAAAAGAAGTGAAAACGTCAGCGACCGGCAAGCTGAGCGAAAAAGGGGAAGATAAAATCCGAATAAAGTAGACATTGTCAACAGGACATCGATTCTCAGAATCAGCGATTACCTACCATTCACATCTGTGATTTCTGTCCATATTTCCGAGTGAGAAACGAAGAAGTAGTGAAGGAAAGGACGAAGAGAGAACGAGGGAAGGGTCGGTTCTAATAATATGGTTTGCAACGTCGGGGACGCGATGCCTTGGAGGTTGACCGGAAATTCGGAAGAGATGGTCGCTTCTGGAGTATTAGCACTGACCTAGGGAAGGCCTCGAGGTCGTCGATGGCACACATTCCGAGTGCGCCTATATTAAGTTAACTGCTTCATAGCTGCCGATTGGACAGTCGGTTTGTCATTGCCAACGTATAGGTATACGAACAGGGCATAGGCAATGCCAATTGCACGCATCCGCAAATTTGCCACCAACTGGCACGCTTATGTTATAGAGTTACTGCGGGTCTACCTAAGTGGTTCCTCTCTCTAAGACACTTCGTAAAGGTGTGCTCACAACAATTCCTTTGACCCATCGGGTCAGAGGAGAGCCGTTTTTGCAATCACTTGTTGCTTCACACGTAGAAGCCTCGTGGGTAGGTGCAAGTTCGTTGCGAAAGAGAGGAAAGCGGAAGAAAACGTTAACTCTTTTTACATTTCAAAGGAACATTCTGATTCATTAAGTCAAACGTAGGATGCCGAGCGATATTGCATTGCATTCACACCTGTGCGTGCAGGTCACCTTGCGTGCCAAGGTTGTAGGAAATACAGAATGCTAGCAGAATTCGTTCATGACGTCGAGCTACTCTTAATGACACTTAAGTAATGAGAATTTTGAAATTACAAATCCCACACAATGTCAAGACATTCTATTTCGATGTCCTCTGCTTAGCGTACGTAGAAGGAGACGTACGCATAGAGGTACTTAACTTAATTGACTCCGAACAGTTGTGCGTAAATGGCGTGTCTACGCACGTATGGTATCTATGAGTGCTTTCTAAACTAATGACGCTCGAGACTCACCCTGCCAATCTTTATTTATTTTATATCATTTTTTTTACAATTGATAATGATTTATCAGTATCATAGTTTTATAATATAATTGAAGTACACATTATGTAATCCATTAATGCACGTAAGTGTTTAACCAACGGAAATTCCCTCGGATCTTTTTGAAGTAGAGATACAATTATCGACATACGGAATAAAATAAAACGTCGTGCGTTAAGAAAGATTTGAAAGTGACACGTGGTAACGATGTTTGATTCGCAATAACGTCCCTAATCGTCGACTTGTAATAGCTGCATGCGCTTACCGGCAGTGAAGCAATAGACGTGTTAGTCGTTTAGCTCGACTCGATTCAGTACTTGTCGCTCGGGCTGTCCTCACCGCTCTTCGCTAAGAATCTCTTTCTAGGTCAGAAAATATACGAGGAACGTCGGTCGATATGACTAACAATAAGCCATAGAGATCAGCAGCCAGAAGAAGTCGAGCTCCGGTACCCCAGACGATGGAGACGCGAATGTAAGTGATAATCGATAATTGAACATCCCAAGTTCGAATACATACCACGTATATGTGTACATACATATATGAATAGATACCTAGTTATTTATCGCGGGGCAAGACCACCGGGCATGGTTTAAAAAATTAACGCGTTCTCTATCTTCGGTCGTAAAAGCCTCAGTCGATGCTGGCTTCGAATTATCCTTTGTGTAGTTTATCTTTAATGCGATTTTGTATTCGATGGATATATTACTCTCGAGAGATCAGAATTTTATTCAGAAGATTATCACTTATAACATATCGAATTTTATGTAATTTCTGTTGAATTATTTGAATTTGTCGTAACGCGTGAAAAATATTTCTTTTTAAATAAATCTGTTTGAGAATCACGATAACTTTGGAGCAAGTTACAATTTAACTGATTATTGAATGAAATTAGAATAAGTGTGTTAATTGAGTGAGTAAAATAATTCGACGCCGGTTTGAAGAAAAATTGCGTAAGAGATAATTTATGAACTTGATAAAATATAACGGTTTGAGAAATAACGGATGCGATGTTATAATCACTTTTAATCTTCAATTGCACAATTTCAATTCTTTAAATAGCGTAGGTCGCAAACAGTGAGTGAATGATTAAACGTGTTCCAGGTAATCGATTGGCCAGAATTATTACGAATCGTTAGCTATAACCGTGGGAAAGATTCTTATAATTATCTATGTATGTATTATAAATTTTAAGTCACATGTTCTTCGATTAGATGCTCGATTTTATCGAAGTAAATGCATTTTCTCAAACTATTTCAGCTTATTAAAGCAACTTCGCAACTGAACATTGATTGTGAAATATTAGAAGTATCTAGTGTGTTTCTCAATGTCGTAAAATTTAATTCTGCATTGTATCCATCAGAAATCGTTACTAAAAAACGATCGTTCGCTTTTGAGATAGTTGACTATGAAAATAACCGGCTTTAAGAATCAACGTGTTCAATTTCAACGTACGTCGGTCCGATTTCTCGCTGTTCAATTGAGATCAGTATCGATGAAATGAGTGTCTTTCATAAAAAAAAAGGAAAAGGAAAGGAGGAAAAAGGAGCGAGACGTGATTCTCAGTTATTCGGTATTTCGAAATGCACACATGCAAAGCTAAGAGATCGACGTTCCTCGGGACGATTTCACCGATTCCCCGAGACAGATCGCGCACACCTATCGCCGGTTGCTACCAAGACACGAGAGCGTGCATCGCGAATCGGTGGTGGGGCCGACGGAATCGAGGCAGGGAGTTGGCAGGCCCGCCCGCTGACTACGTTCTCTCGCTCGCGGATTGTCAGAGTCCACAGTCCTAACTCGACTTCAGGCTACGACAGATCGTATCTCGCTCGTATCTTCATTCGATCTTCTTGCCGCGAATTAATCTTGCGCGCGTTAGCCTTGCCCCCCCGCCCTGACCGACCTTCTCAATTTAACTGTACACCCGACCCGATCGAACGACCTTCAGATACCACCGAAACTCCGTTTATCGCGGCTTTTATCGTGCCGGTTCTCGGACCGTTCGAGTGTTGGTGAACGAGGATTCAAGGATACTTTTCCTGTTACAAGGATAATCCGGTGGAATAACTCATCAAAAGATAATCGAGAGACCTAAGAGGTAAGGGCACGTGATTTCACAAGCCTTCTTCGGACACATTCCGTTCTTCTCGCGAGATAACTTCGGTCAACTGGACGTGATTCGGCTAAGAATCGAATGCAAATTGGGGATCGTGTTTTTAATTAACTATAGGCGTTCGACCGATTACGATTCTTCGCGGTACATCGGCTCTCTGTCATTCTTTAGTTGCTCAAGAGACTCTCCAGGGTAGTTTCTTACCATATAGAACACGCCACAACGACAGCACGTATCATAATTATCAATTTTTATTGATGTGAAGTAGTTTATATCGTGTAATTATTTTAATACTTTGAATTACAGTAGAAGTTCTTGTATCTTAATGTTTGCTTCGTGATAAGTCTGATAATTAAATGGAGTTTCCTTTAAGAGTCAAGGAGCAAAAAATAAAAGCGATGTTTAAAAGCTACAAATACGTCAATACGAACATGCATAAGGCAACTGTTTATCTTGTATTTAAATTCACTTTCTTTGTAATACAAATGACTACCTGTTTCTACTGATGTCGCATGTAAATTAAATTCAATCGCTATCTTGCATCCTATGATTGTTGCAAAAACTGTTCTACCGGTAGTTTCTAAAATTAGATTGAATCGCTAGAAATCAAGTAACCCCGAGACACTCGAGGTCGGGCGATGGGGTGAAGGTCGGGTTTTTTTCATTTATTACAATTTTTCATAATCAACGAGTCACATTTATCTTTTTCTTAAGGAAAATAATGTTGGATAAATTTCAGTATTAAGAAATGTTTAATTGACAATTTGCATCGAAATTAAATGAAAATGCGTGCTTCGTTTGCATGAAAAAATGTAAGCAGGAGTTCAACGGATGTTTGCATTAAGTATCGAATCTCTGTGTATCATTATACGGTAGAAGTCAAATGTTAATATAAATTTGAGGAAATATTAGTGTTCTTAATAATTCATTCATCATCGATTTACGTAATTTCATAGATACAAACACATATTTACTATTAGATCT